CAAAAATGCGGCAGATCTCAAACCCCCTCGTGCTAGGGTGACAGGGCGCCACCGCTACCCCAGAACCGATCCACCTTGTTCTCACGGAAAGAAGCGTCTTCCACCCTCGACTACTCCTCAAAAGCTGTCTCTTATACACATCTAGATGTGTATAAGAGACGAATGTGGTACAGTGGAGCGACTGTCTTATTTTTAGTATCTGAAAAGCAACGTATCGAGTCTGCATGCCATATGGATTCTTCTTGGCCTCTTCTTTTTTTTTATATATTAAAAAAAATGCTAATTCTTTTAAGCCCAACCAATTCAAATCCCTGTAGAATCTGGCCAGGACGGCCTTTCAGACCTTTTTTATTGTCATTATAGTATTACGGGGAACCCTGTAGCAGCCACCTACTTGCTCAAGCCTCCAACGAGGGAACATGGGGGAGCTGCACCCACCAGCAGGTGCGATACCTACTACAGCAGGCGGCGATACCGGCCAGGGGTCAGCCGGTAGCATCAGGACCGAGCTTCTTCTATGGGCCATTCACTGTGCCTCCTCTCCTCTTCTTCTTCTTCTTCTTCTTCTTTCTTCTTCTTTTTTGTTTTTTTTACAGAGGATGTTGGGATTTCTCCCATTAGCAACACGCCTATCAGCACACTTTCCACCAACGAACAGAAAGGGAAAGCATCCTGGGATGGAGTGGAGTAGGAAACAAACCAAGGAAAGGAGGAGACAGGGCCGACAAATGGTTGCCAGAGCCAAATGTACCTGACGACAGGTGATGCACATGAAACGTATGGTGAACAATAGGGTGTGCGATGCCAGCTGAAGTCTGACAGTCTGACATGCCTCAGTCTGACAGTATTTCAAAAACGTAAAAAAGGAGTCTGGCAGTCTGATACCCTGACAGAGACAGGCGTTTTGCCCGACAGCCTGTGCTCCATGAAATCCTGTGGGATGTGTTAGAGGACACTGTCAGATGTCCCGAGCCTGACGCTCTTAACATTGCACCTGCACCGGAACTGCGGAAAGGGTGTCTTTCCACAAAACTCCCACCAAAATTTGAAGTATGATCCTGTCCCCACTGAGAATGTTGCCAAACATCTGGACTTCTGTGGTGCAGATCAAGGACCTGGTTGTCTGCAGCATGCAGGTACATTCTGACAAAGGGAACTTCATTATTTCAAAGTTTCCCAAGGTCCTGAAGCTGTTTTTTGTCGTTTCTCGCCTGCACAAAAGCCACACCACTTGCAAAACGAAAAACAACACGAGTAAATTCTTAGTCACACTACTACATACCGCTCCACTCAATCCTGGCTGGTGTAACCAAACGCTGTCTACCTTCACCTATCCTACAAGGGGTAGTGTGACTAAGAATTTGTGGTGTTTTGCAAGTAGGTGATATTTGTTTGTGGTAAAATTTGAATGTTTGGAGGAGTTCCCAGCCCTGATGGCTGTAAGCGAAACCGGCTGATGCTGCCGGGATAACTCCGGGTTGAATTGTGAGGTCCCCGGCCTCTTTTCTATTCTGATTGGGAACAACAATTTTTCTGTTCAAAAAAAAAAAAAAACCACGAGTGCAGTGCATCTCCCCGAAGAAGTTGGCAAAAACATCCAATGCTATGAATAGTAACTGATGAATACAGCCACCTTCTGCAGGAAGATGCATTGTTTTGGGATTTGTGAGTTGTGTGGCGATGCCCATCTTCTGGTGTTTCTCTTAGAGTTGGACCCCACAGGACCGCGGAAAGGAAAAACTTTGCCTCAAACTGTTTCCAGGACCCCACAGCCTGCGGCAGATGTCCACGGAAAGGTGAAATTTCTCCCGCAAACCGTTTTCCCGGACCCCACAGACCGAAGACCGGACCCCACAGACCGAAGATTGCGGCTGGGCGTGTCTGTCCGGGAAAGGTCTTGGAAAAGTCTCATGGGAGGCAGCAGCCAATAGCGACCAAGAGTGCCACAAAAAAAAAAAAAGGAAAAACAGAAATGAGTGCCGAGGGAGAAAGGCAACGATTGGCTCAACTGATTCCCAAAGGGTTTCCACGGCGCATTTGGTCCTCCGCGGTGGGGTCCCCACAGAACTCTTTTTTTTGTTTTTTTGTTTTTTTTTTAAACCAAAGCTCCATCTATTGGTGGGGAGCAAACACCTGCTGGAAACCGGGCCCAGCATCCCATAGATACAACCATATCCTCACAAATTGGCACGAACTGGGAACCGGGCCCAGCGTCCCATAACGAGTACATTCAGAAAACATGTCAGTGAAAATGAGGCTAGGAACCTACTAGAAAAATCCAATTGGCCTAAGAATGGAAATTGAAAATTGAGATACCGGGGCCATCACCCGGCTTTGACTCGGAGAGTAAAAGCTCCGAGTCAAAGCCACTTCAGACATGT